AAATGGGAAAAAATGGGGGGGAAATGGGAAAAAATGGGGGGGAAATGGGAAGAGCGTGAGGAAATGGGGGGGGGGGGCGTCTGGAAATGGGGGGGGGCAGGTTTGGAATTTTGGAATTTTGGAATTTTGGAGTTGGGAATTAGGGGATTTGGAATTTTGGGAATTTGGGAAATTTGAGATTTTGGGGTTTGTGAGTTTTGGGTTGGGAATTTTAGGATTTGGGATCTTGGGATGTCGATTTCGAGACTTCAAGATTTGGGATTTGGGGTTGGGAATTTTGGGATTTGGAATTCTGAGGTTTGGGATTTCAGGATTTTGGGATTTGGGGGTTTTGTGATTGGGAATTTTGGGATTTGGGATTTGGGATTCTGGGATTTCGGATTGGGAATTTTTGGGTTTTCGGGATTTGAGGATTTTGGTAATTTTGTGACTTTGGGGGTTTGGGACTTGGGGAAATTTGGAATTTTGGGATTGGGAATTTTTGCTATGTGGGAAAATTTGTAAATTTGGGATTTAGGATTTTGGGAAATTTGTGATTTTGGGATTTGGGATTTTGGGAAATTTGTAATTTTGGGATTTTGGGAAATTAGTGATTTTGGGATTTGGGATTTTGGGAAATCTGTAATTTTGGGATTTCGGATTTTGGGAAATTTGTGATTTTGGGATATTTGTGATTTTGGGATTTGGGATTTTGGGAAATCTGTGATTTTTGGATTTGGGGTTTTGGGATATTTGTGATTTTGGGATTTAGGGTTTTGGGAATTTTGTAATTTTGGGATTTGGGGTTTTGGGAAATTTATGATTTTGGGATTTAGGATTTTGGGAAATTTGGGATTTTGGGAAATTTGCAATTTCGGGATTTGGGATTTTGGGAATTTTGTGATTTTGGGATTTAGGATTTTGGGAAATCTGTAATTTTGTGATTTGGGATTTGGGATTTTGGGAATTTTGTGATTTGGGATTTTGGGAATTTTGTGATTTTGGGATTTGGGATTTTGGGAATTTTGGGATTTGGGATTTTGGGAATTTTGTGATTTTGGGATTTGGGATTTTGGGAAATCTGTGATTTTGGGATTTGTGATTTTGGGATATTTGTGATTTTGGGATATTTGTGATTTTGGGATTTGGGATTTTGGGAATTTTGTGATTTTGGGATATTTGTAATTTTGGGATTTGGGATTTAGGATTTTGAGAATTTTGTGATTTTGGGAAATTTGTGATTTTGGGATTTTGGGAATTTTGTGATTTTGGGATTTGGGGTTTTGGGAATTTTGTGATTTTGGGATTTTGGGAATTTTGTGATTTTGGGATTTGTGATTTTGGGAAATTTGTGATTTTGGGATATTTGTGATTTTGGGAATTTTGGGAATTTTGTGATTTTGGGATTTTGGGAATTTTGTGATTTTGGGAATTTTGTGATTTTGTGATTTTGGGAAATCTGTGATTTTGGGATTTTGGGATTTTGGGAATTTTGTGATTTTGGGAATTTTGTGATTTTGGGCTCCCCCAGGCACGGACCCGGCGCTGTCGGACCCCGAGCTGGCGCAGCGGCTCCGGCGGAACCGGCGCCTGGCGCTGGCCCGGCTGGACGACGTCATCGCGCGCTTCGCCCAGCGCCAGGAGCAGCACCAGGAGAGCGGCGCCGGCCGGAAACGGCGGGAGCGGAAACGCCGGAGCGGGGTACGGGAACGGGAAATGGGAACGGGAATGGGAACGGGAATGGGGAATGGAAACAGCGGGAGCGGAAACGCCGGAGCGGGG